CCCAAAAACTTCACTTAGAAACTTGAACATTATTAGGTGATACAGTCTAAACAAAAAATGCTCTGCTTCCAGATTTCAGGATGCAAAATTATAGCATCATCAAGACTATGTTCAAAAGTCAAGATAACATGCTAAACCAAATTCAGGCAGAGTTGCTGGGAGTTGGGCGGCATATGCATTTAATAAAGTATTATTATTGTTATTATTATTATTATTGTTATTATTATTGACAATGTTGATAATAAACATGTATTATTATCATTATTATAATCATCATTGGTTTAACATGTTGCTGTAATCCCAGCTATTATAGTTTGCTTTGTGGCTTAGAACGAGCTATGAATCCTGGCTGCAACCAGATTTTTAAGGTTGTCTTTACAAAATGCCCCACGCTGAATTGTGTCTTGTATGTGTATTTACTTCTACCAAGAGTTTTAGATAAGAAAGGAGGGATGAATCACTTTTGCCAATGTGGACATGGCATTCAAAAAAAGTACTAATTTATTGATTCTTATGTTGCATATACAAAGTCTTACTTAAATTTCTGGTGGTTTCACATTGGACTAGGAAAAATTCCTATCTGAAATACTATGATACATATAAGTCTGAACTGATCTGGTATTAGGTAACTCTTGTATTCTTCTATATGTAATTCAGTATCCATAATGGAAAAAGTTCCTTCATAAGAGTATCCTTTTTTTCTTCTTCCAATGCATACATAACAAGAATCATCTGCATGTATCAGCATGCATATCAGTGTGTGGCACTAATCATACTCACAGAACATTTTACCAACAAGAGGTTCATATTCACATCAGAAAATGTACTCATGAAGTATCCTATATTCCTAATGTCAGCTCTGCCCTCTTGGTTCACACAGGAGAAAAAGTGACAAGAAAAAAGTACATCAGTGAAGCAGTGAGTGAAACTATGTAGACATCCCAATTTTAAAATCCATAGATAAACCATTGTCTTCTACATGGTCCAGTACTGGTGAACATCAGAACAAACAGACTAATAAAGGGTGAAGAATAGAGGTGCATATATGAAAGAAAAGGCTTACACGGGGAACTGCTGATGTGAATCAGTAATATCCAAGGATGATCTTATTCATGTAATCATCCTCATTTCAGACACACTCCAGAAGCCAAAGACCTGTTTATGGGAATGGGTGAACGGTTCATGTGGCGCACACTTTCCACAGCTGAAGGCATAAGTAAATTAATGCTAGTCTTATTATGTTTTTTCCCCAACTGGATTACAATGCAGCAAAGGAGCAACAATAACAATAACATATATTTCAGTGCCAGATTACAAAAACTGAACATGATTTCTTCCCAAAATTACTGCATATCTGCATTTCATTTTCCTCTACTGTATATGAACATGGTTTTTTGTTCAGAACAAAAACTAATTGTTACCCATGCATTAAATTATCCAAATGGCCTCTTAATTATACTCTAACAAGTATTTTGCTGGAAAAGAAATGTTAGTAGCAATATAGACATTAAAATGTTCCTATTTAGGAATAAGATGAAGAAGTATTGCTAAATCATTCAACTATTCATACTTCTATTTAATTACAATGTAGCTTTTCTCTCTTTTTTAAAGTAGAGCTTTTACAACTATCAGAGTGGAAACACTTCTATTATTCAATACATTTACATGCTTGTCTGCCAAAGCTGGAGTATTACAGTACGTTTCACTTACAAAATACAAAATATCCTATCAAGTTATAAAATATGGAACATTTTAAAGAGAGGCTTCAAGAATAATTTCAAGTTGCTGGAAGTTTTTTTTTTTTTTTTGCTTTGTTTTAAACAGGATACAGTTCTACACATTGGCTGTGGCCATGAACAGTAAAGTAAGTAGGAGTTCAATAGCCGTACTCTGTGCAAGATTCAAGCTGATATGATTAAAACACATGTCTTCAGTACTACATTTGAGTTGGGATTTAAAAAAAAAAACCCTGATATTACAGAAAAACCAACACCAAATAGTTAGGATAAGATCCTGACATCTCTGTAATTAGGTGCACAACTTCTGAAAACTTCCGTTTATTCAGAATCTTACCATCCAAGGTTTCATGTTTAGTATGCCAGGGACTTCTATTTGCAAAGAAGTTTATCGATTATAACCTTTTCCCCAACTGAGTGCCCCCTCAGAAACACTGGATGCAACTCCCATCATCTACACCCAACTCAGCCATACTGGTGGAGAATGGTGGAAGTTTAGATTAACATGTGTAGAGGGTACTGTATTTTGGGAAAGCTGTTTTATACCTAATGAATGTAAACATAAGGGTTCAATCATACAAATCAGAAAATTCTGTCACCTCCCCCAAAAACTTCACTTAGAAACTTGTTTTATGCTCACTTTTACTTCTACAGAACAACAACTGGGCTGGAATGTGTGCGAAGTGTCCAATTTATGGTCCATTCAAACTCTTAGCAGGTCATCTGAGTATGACAACCTTTTTCGCAACCAGGTTAGCTTAAAAATCCATTAGGATGGCAATCCTAGTGCAATTTAGGATGAATTGAAATGCCTCACCATTTCTGTCAAGCAAGGGAAAAGTCGTGTTCTCAGTCTGATCATCTTTGGCTGTAAGAAAGCGAGAGCCAAGCAACTGTTGGCTGTGTGCATATGCGCACAAATGAGCCAGTGCAAAAGCTAAATATAAAGAGCAGAGCCTTTTTAAACACCCGGAGAGAGAGAGAGAGAGAGATTGAAACTACCCGAGGAGCCAACCCAGCACCTCCTTCCATTTCCATGCCTTAAGCGCCTTGGCTGGGAATGAAGAATTTGAGAGCGTTGCCAGTCAAACAAAAGAGGGTGTAGCAGCTGCGGAAGACGGGCGGACCCTAATGAGACCAAGTGGCTCCATCGGGAAGGCGGGAGCGCCCTATTTTAGGAAATGCAGCCCTCGATTCTCCTGCCTGCCCCTCCCTCTCAACAAGCCTTTCAGCTCTTCGCCGGACGCGTTCCCAGAACGGATCTGAGAGCCGAGGAAGAACAAAGAGTTCTTCTTCCACGCCGCGGGAATCCCTAGGACGGCGGCGGCGGCGCCTGCCCTTCGTCTTGCAAGGCGGCGGGCACTTCCTCAGCAATGGAGTACCAAGCAGTACAGCGAAGAGGACCGAAGGGAGAGGCGCTCTTCGCCCGTCCCCCGCCCCTCCCAGTCTCATCAGGCATTTACCTGGCGGGAGATCTCCGCTGCTTCTGCGGCTTTGGGTTCTTCGAAGGCTCCTCCGCCCGCCTTTCCTTCACACAAGAGATGGCTCGGAGGCAGCCAGACCGGTAGCGCCTCTCTCCCTCCCTCCTTTCCCCCTCCTCATCCTCAGAAGAGCTCAGGCAGAAAAAACCAAGAAAAGGGCGCCTGTGGCGCGAGAGGGGCCGGAACGCACCGCCGGAACTGGCACAGCCGGCGGACTGGGGCGTTTATTCCGGACTTCCTCGAAAGTCCTGCGTCGCCGGCGCTCCTGCTCCTCTCACCTCAGCCGGCCAGATGTGGCAGTCGCCTGCTCCTCGGTGGGAGAGGCAGAGGTGGCACTGGTGGGAGTCTCTCTTTCCGAGGGGCGGGGCCAGCCCGTCCCTCCTCGGCGGCGGCAGCGGCGGCGGGCGATGGGAGGCGTCACTCAAAGGGTCGGCAAGAAGGAGCCGGAGACGAAGCCGGATCGGAAAGTTTCCAGCGCTTGGTTGATCGAGGGAAAGCGCGATCTGAGCTGCGCCGCTCCGCACTCTGCTCGTAGAAGAGCCTTCTCCCGCCCAGACTAAGCCGGGTCATAAGACAGTGGGCGCAGGGGGCAGCCACGGTGCGCAACAACCGCGCATCCTGTCTCTGGCTGAAGGAGCGACACTGTCGCCTGTGCATTTAGGCAGGTGTCTGTACTGGGATACGGAAAAGGGATTTTCTCCAAAGAGTAAACTTTACCTACTACCTAAATGCACTGTGTGTGTGTGTCTTTTCAATTTGTTGGCAGCAACGCAGAACTCTTTCAGTTGGTACAGACGAACTTTTATGTTGTGCTCATTAATGCGGAGTAACGCCTACGGTCAATAACTAATGCTTAATCCGATCCTCGCTTTTCTTTCCAGCACGTGATGGTTTTTATACCATTGTATGATTCACCTGTTAGGGAGGAGATTACCCAGGGGACCGACAGGCGAATGTGAGTAGGACATTCTCGCTTAATCGCCATTAATCGAGGGGGAGGTGCATCACAGTCAAACTTAAGGTCCATGGCTTTAAGGCAGCCCCGGGGGAGGGAACAGCAAAATAGGAGAATCTATTTAGTAATTCCAGGAGAGGAGCCCCTCCCAGAAGAAGTAGGAAGAGAAAAAGAGCAGGTCAGCTCCTCCCCCTGGGGCAAAGTATATTACAACAGTGGCCATTGGTACTTCCAGAAGAAGAAAATGTCATTGAAGTGTGGAAATGAAATTCCATTTTCTAAACTTGTTTTTACACTCTGCTTAATAGTGGGCTCTTTTTGCCCTCTCCTGGGGTTTAGACTAGAACAACTAGTGATGGGTCAAAGAGAATTCAAGGGCCAGCCAATGGAAGACAGTAGGGCTGTGCTAGGGTGGCTTCGTATTCCCTCAACAAGGCATTTGATGACGTGTGCAGAGTGTTTCACGATGAAGAACTTCGCTTCAGCCATTCCAGTAACTGGAAAAAGCTCTGCGTTTCCATTGCGTAAGACTCTTCTAGCACTTCCAGTCAGCTATTAGGTGACCGGACAGACAGAAACGATTTCTCCAGGCTTTGGGAACTGTTGGAGGACATCTCAACTGAAGACATGTGGCCACTTCACTTTCAAGAGGCAGAGGGAGGGTATTTTCTGCAGCGGCTTTGAAAGGAAGCTTAGTATATATTTTCATGGAAGTAAAACGCCCCTTCAAAGCTTTGTGCCGTCTTAGAAGAAAGTAATAATGAAGTCCATGCTACTGGTTGCATTCTAAGAAGTGTGTGTTTTATAGGCGATCAGAATTTGATCAGTCAGGAAACAGCAGCAAAAAAGTCAGATCTGTGCTGCTCAACTCTCAACCAAAAACTTTAATATTGTGACATCCAAAGTCTGCATGGAATGCAAGCAGCCTTTTATGAGGGAATAACCAGTCAGAAGGGCTCTTAAAAGTAAGGAGCCATTCCCAGTTAGATTTGTTATGAGAGAGGAAGCAGTGCCTGCATAATTTCATTTGGATGGGAATATTTCCAAATTATTTGAATCATATACAGAGAATCTCCTGGAAGAACCATTGGCCAATGAAACAAAAAAGGATTGAAAGCTAATTTGAGAGAAAGCAACCTATCTTTCTTATTCCAACATTGACTATAGGATCTAGTGAGGATGGAGCGAAGAAGATCCCTAAACTGAGGAATCTTAGATCTTATTTCATTCCCTGATAGGCAGATCTCCAGAAAGTCACAGAAAATATATTCTATATTCTAGAGACTGGGAATATGATTTATCTGTAATTCTACCTCAGAAATGTATGCATTGTTATAGATGTTTGACCTAAAAGTACTTTGATTTGGGAAAGAAGACGGTGTTGTGTCAAGTTATCTGTGATATGTCAAGTTATCTGTGATATGGAAAGAATAACAAGATTTAAAGATGTCATCATAATGTTGAATCTTATACTAAAAATCTGTAACTAACTTGTCAGTATTTGAAGAATATTGACTATATTGAGCATTGAGTGTAGCAAGAAAGATTGAGGGAAGACAGCTTTATTCCCATGTTACAATCATGGATTATGTATTTTCTGTCTGCTTTTCAGCTGGTTCAGTATATACATAATGGAAAGACTGATCAATAATACTCTGTGAGATCAAAGTTTAATGCTGTGCTAAAAACTGATCTGTTTTCTTTATGTACTGTAAAGAACAGTACTGTAAAGTACTGTTACTTTATCTTTTTTATTTTCCTTTTTTTTTTTTGTATTTTCTTTCTATTATTTCTGTATAACAAAACTTTGTTTTAAGACCCCTAGGAAGACCTATCCCAAGAGAATTTGATGGTATACATAAAATACTTGTTATGTATTTTCAGTAATTATGGAGCTAATAACTTAAATAAAACATATCATAGGAGATTTTTGAATATACATTATAATTCCTGAATTTCTCAGGCTTCTGGATCTGAATTTTCAGGTGTCTATATTCTTGGGAGGGCTTAGCAAGGTCTCAAAGTAGGGCTAATTTTGGTATTGCCTTCATTCAGGCCATAGGTGAGTGGGTTCCTGGGAGACTTCATCCTTGAAGGAAGATTCTTCCAGAGAGTCACCTGCATGTGCTCGTTTGTGCACACACAGACATGCACATTCTTGATAACATTGAATTATCAACATATTCCCTTTGACATTTTAGGTCTCAAGAAATATATTATAAAAAATAAGAGAAACAAAATGACAAAAAGTGACAAAAGTGACAAAAATCAAGATATGTTCCAAATATTTCATACCCCTTTATTCTATATGTAACACTATTCTAAGGGTTAATTTGAGAGAGAGGATATGCAGAAGGCTGATCTGTTTGTGACAACTGCATCTTTCTGTAGCTGCGTAGCACACCGGGCATATTATAAACCATTCATAGTGATCATATTGCTACTTAACAGCTGCTCTGGGTACATAATCCTTCCCTGCTGTGGTAATAAAAGCCTAGCACATATCTTTGTTGACACAGGAAGCAAATGATCATGTTCAAATATCAAAAGCACATATGGGCTTCTATAATGGGAGATGTTATGCCCTTCTTTCTTTTCAGTTATGCCTATCAGTAACAGAGAAATTTACAGTGATTACCATCCAAATAGTGTAAGGTGGAATACTAATTTTTAAAATTTACCATATGAATGGTATGGCAGTGCAGGTCACTCTCTTCAGCAGGATGGGAAACTCATCCTTATTCAGCCCTTCAACAAATAGTGATTTCTAAGATTTTAGTACCGATCAACTATCATGGCCAGAGATTGCAATAACATACAGGGGAGAAAAAACAACAACACTGTGAGAAAAGATTAGAGTCTTAGGGGCTTTTTAGCTAGGTTTTTTTTAAAAACTTTCTCATGGGCCTCTGTTTCACCACTTGGGTGGAAAAAATCTGGATTCTGATAACTTTTTGGTCTGATTTAGCAAATATTATCCAAATACTGTAATCTGTAATGTGGCAGAAGGGGAAATCATTATATATGTGTGGAATTGAGTGATTGGTTATGTGCCATCAACATAGTGTCAACTTTTCATTACAACATAGATATTCATCTTCTTCAGGATGATCTGTTCCTACCTGGCTCTTCAGGTCTTCCAACAGTGCATGTATTACTGCTGTAATTAAGTCCATCTGCCTTGTTGCTGGTCGTCCTCTTTCCTTTCATCTTTCCCAGAATTATGGATTTCTCAAGGGAGCTGTGTCTTTGCATAGTGTGTCCAGAACATGAACTTGGTTATTTATGGTTGGTTGTTTTTTGGTTATCCATGATATTTTCAGGCATCTTCTCCAATACCAAAGTTCAAAAGTGTCAAAATACTGTGTCTACTTTTCCTCAAAGTCAAACTTTAGCTTCCATAGAATGTCACAGGGAAACCATTGAAGATGAAATTGTAGGAGGAAACATCAATAACCTGCACTATGCTGATGTCACTGTTCTGATAGCTGAAAATGCAAATGATTTGCAAGTTCTAGTAATTACGTAAAGTCAAGGACATAGTGAAAATATGGAGCTAAGATAAACATTTTATTTATTTATTTATTTATTTATTTATTGGATTTCTCTCCTGCCCATCTCCCCTACAATATATTTATATACAAATATAAAGAAGTCCAAACTAATGACAACAGATATAGTAACCAACTTTAAAATAGACGGAGATATTGAAGTGGTGGATACTATCTTTTAGGATCTACTGTCAACAGTAAAGGAACCAGTAGTCAAGCAATATTCTGTAGACTAGAGTAGCAATGAAGATCTTTGAAAAGATATCTTCTTCAATCCAGCCTCCCTCTATACATTCAGCATATAGGTTGAATAAATAAGAAGAGAATATTCACCTTGTCTCATTCCTTTGATGACCTGGAACCAGTCAGTTTCACCATGTTTTGTCCAGACTCGGGCTTCCTATCCTTTGTATAGGCTTCTCATGAGGACAATGAGATGTTGTGGAATTTTCATTTTCCTAAGGGCTTTCCATTGCTTGATATGGTCAACACAATCAAAGGCCATTTTATAATAAATGAAG